AAAAGTGAAATAGGTTTTTAGTTGACTACTTTTGTAGCTAATGTTCACAAGCACAAACTAAATACTTACTCACCTAGTAAGTGGGAAAAATAAATACTTAAAAGTTCTGGTTCACACAGAATTTACAGTAGTCATGTATATTGTCTCTAATAGTAAATGTGTTTTATTTAAAAATTTTATCTATATTGTTCCTATCAGTTTTGTTTTTCTGATTGTGTACATTTGTTATGGATAAAATGACACCCCCCCAACCAACAAAACAAAATAAAACGAATGGTCAGATGTCAGTGGTGCACCCATGTAATCTTAGCTACTCAGGAGACTGAGATTTGAGAACACCATTCAAAGCCAGCCTGGGCAGGAAAATCTGTGAGACTCTTATCTCCTATTAACTCAAAAAGCCAGAAATGGTGAGGTGGCTCAAAGAATAGAGTGGTAGCCTTGAGCACAAAAGCTGAAGGACAATACCCTGAGTTGAAGCTCTAGGACAGGTGTGTGTGCACACGCTCACACACATAGACACACACACACACAAACTACAAAAAACCCACATTTTTTAAAAAGACAAAATTAATAGAGCATAAAATAATTATACTTTCTCTAATTGGATTTTATGATATGTGGTTCTAAGATTGTGTGGCGTTAAATAGGATGTAATGTTCATATGAATTGCTGGCATTATCCAAGAAGGAAGTAGGTAATCTGTAAAATTGTCATTGTCATTGTTATTGTGTTAGCCACTAAAAAATGGTCCAAATTTTATTTCTTGCTTTTATTGTACTTAAAAAACTTGTTAGTTCGATGAAGGTATTCTTCAGCCTAGTTCAAGAAGAAATAATGAAGTTGGCAGGTTTTCCCTAGGGAGAGAAGCACAACTTTATATATAGAATATCAGCTCAGAAAACACAACTCCATTTCCAGACCGGTCTTTCTTAGACCAAAATATCTTACTGATATTTTTTCTCAAATTTACTTTTCTTTTGTGTCTCTTTACTACTAGTAGTTACTGCTACCTGGATTTTCTGATTTTTTTTAAAAAAATTAACTTAATTTTACTGTGAAGGTGATGTACAGAGGGGTTACACTTACATAGATATGGTAATGAGTACATTGTTACCCCCTCTTTTCTTTTCTTCCACTTTCCCTCTTTATTAACTCCCCCCGCCAAGTTGTAAACTTCATTTCCAACAGTGTCTTGTATCACTGTTGCATTGGTTCACCCTTTGTACTTTTCTATTTTGTGTAATTCACTTTCCCTTCCCCAAATCAGATACACATATGTATGTATGTAAAAAACAGTGACAGCAGCGGATAAACCAAAGGGGAAAAAAGAAAAAGAAAAAGGAAAGAATTTAACACAGTACACTAAAAAAGCAAAATGAAAACCTCTTGTTTCCATATCTTGGAATTATTTTGAATAGCCTTATTTGGTAATATATACATAGCTATTGCACTATTGTGATCCTCTGCTAGGACTATCCTACACATATACTAATTATTACAAATGAGGGAAACCATGGAGCCTATGTTTCTTTGGGCCTGGCTTACTTCACTTACTATGTTTTTTTTTCAAGTCTTTCTATTTCATTACAAATAGGGTAATGTCATTCTTTCTGATGGAAGCATAGAATTTCATTGTGTATACATACTACATTTTCTTGATCCATTCATCTATTTAGGGGCATGTAGATTGGTTCCATGATTTTGCTATGGTAAATAATGCTGCAGTGAACATAGTTGTGCTGGTAGCTTTAGTGTGACCTTGTTTGTGATCATTGGGTAAATGCCCAGGAGTGGAATTCCTGGATCATAGGGGAACTCTATGTGTATGTAATCTTTTGAGGAACCTCCATACTGTTTTCCAGAGTGGTTCAACCAGTTTACATTCCCACCAACAGGATAATAGTGTTCCCTTTTGGAAACATCCCTACCAGCATCTGTTTTATTTGTTTCCTTGATAAATGGCCATTCTAACTGGGGTGAGGTGAAATCTCACTGTTGTTTTGATTTACATTTCTTTATGTGTCTCTTGGTTATTCTTATTTTCTTTCCAGAGAAGTCTCTTTTTAATTATTTAGCCCACTTATTAATGGGGTAGTTGTTTCTTTGAGGATTTGTTATTAGGGACTTAACTTTTTGAGCTCTACATATTTTTATTTTTATTTTAGTTTATTTTGTCGGTTGTGGGTCCTGAACTCCTGGCCTGGGCGCTGTCCCTCAGCTCTTCAGCTCACAGTGAGTGCCCTACCACTTGAGCCACAGCACCACTTCCAGCTTGTTCTGCTTATGTGGTGCTGAGGAATCAAACCCAGGGCCTCAGGCATGCAAGGCAAGCACTCTACCACTGAGCCACCTTCCTAGCCCCTTTATGTATATTTTAGATAGAAGGCTCTTTTCTGTTGTGTAGCAAATGAAGATCTTCTCCCAGTCTATGGGCTTTCCATTTATCTTGCTAGCTATGCCCCTTGCCATGCAGAAGCTCTGCAGTTTAATGCAATCACATTTATCCAGCCTTTCTTTGATTTGTTGTATTTCTGGATTTTTATTTGGGAAGTTTCGACATGTGCCAAGGAGCCCTAGTATAATGTTTTCAGGGTCTCTGCTCATACCTTGAGCTCTTTGATCCATTTGGAGTTGATTCAGATGCAGGATGATATATAAAGATCAAACTTTAATTTTCTACATGTGCATAGCCAATTCTGCCAGCACTACTTGTTAAAGAGGCTGCCTTTCTTCCATCCGATGATTTTTGCCACCATTAACAATGTTAAGTGGCCATAGGTCTGTGGGATCATTTCTTGGTCTTCAATTTTATCCCATGATTTTCTGACTCTTTAAGATCAGGAATGACAACCTTAAAAGATAGTTATTAGTTGTTTAAATTTATATCAGAATCCTAAGTTTAGGATTTCCCTAAGAATATGTGTGCTCTTTGTTCAATGTGCATAGTATGATCATGGCACATGAATTTCAAAGATTACAAAATCAAAGAAAAGTTATGATCTATGATAATTTCTTAGCAATTTCAATTGTGTACCAGCAGGAGTTTATAACATTTTTATTAGGAAAGTTCAATCTCTCTGAGCAATATAGAAGTTAAAATGAGAACCTTTTTCACCTCTACATTTTATATTCTTTCTTTGTCTACTTCAAAAGAGATTGAGATACTTGTGAATTTACCACTTTTGATTCATGTTTAAGTTCCTAAAAAGTACCTAGAGAAATAACACATTTAAATCTCTTGTGCTTTTGAAAATCAAGATTCTTTTTCCCTCCATTGTATTGGGAAATATATGTACAACTTTTGCAATATAATGTCTTATACTTCATATTTTAATTGCTTTAGTCTCTTTAAGTACTTGATTAGAGTGATCTAGGCAGTATCCTGAAAGGCCTGACTTGATATCTCATTAGCTACTGACTGATTATCAGGTTGCTGCCAGGGAATGTGCCCCATTCTTACCTTACTGGTTTAAGGATACGCTGTTATTGACAGATTGAAACCAAATCTGTGTACTTGGTTTGGAGATAGAGAACAGGTCTGAGGTGTGCCATGATCTCTGTTTGTTAAATGTTGAAGACCTTTATAAAGTGACATCATAATCTGTAGTCAATGCCATGTTGTTTATGTGTTTATAAAGATTTCCAAAAATTATAATAGTGGATATAAATTTACAAGTTTCTTTGGTTGAGGAAGCTGTTGGCCAGAGAGATTAAGCAACTTGATCAGAGTTCTGGCTCTCAGTGGAGACTTTTATCTTAATTCTATAGAGTTGAGGTAAAATCATATCTGAATGTGCTACAGAATATTATTTGCATTTTAAGTAGAGCCTCTAAACACTTTTGAGATGTCTGAGACTTTTCTCATGGAGTGATTTGGATATGAACAGTGATCACACATGCCACTTTTGAGCAGCTGTTGAAGAAGGCAGAATAAGATTATGCTAGTTGCTTATATACACCACACACACACACACACACACACACACACACACACTGGTTGCTGAAAAAAATTAAAAATATCGATTGGTATTTGGAAGGGAAACTATCCACCCTCACTTTTTTTTTGAATGTTTCACTCATGAAGTTCTTTCTTTTTTTTCTTCTGATTCTGGGATTTGAACTCAATGCCTGGGTGGTGTCTCTGAGCTTTTGTGATCAAGATTAGGCTGTAACTGCTCCAGCCATAGCTTAACTTAAGGCTTGTTGGTGATTAATTAGCGATAAAGATAAGAGACTTGTGGACTTTACTGTCCAGGCTGGCTTTTAACCATAATCTTTAGATCTCAGCCTCCTAAGTAGCTAGGCTAACAGATGTGAACCACTGGCACCTGGTCATAGTTTTAAAACCATAAATTTTGACTGGTCAGGGACAGCTCTTGATTGACTTGTCATTGGTGTATGTACTAAGAATGAGGGACAGTTTATATAAACTGTCAGCCAGAGGCTCCCAATGTCCTCAAACTATGTAATTCACACCCTGTCCCCATCCAGTCTATCTCTGTCACATGGTTAGGTTATATAGTACAGTTGGCCTTGAAGTTATCATTGAAACTAAGACTTCCAACCTCTGAGATTATAGATGTTTGCCATACCAAGAGTGGCCTAGTATGTAATTTCAAGTTGAGGACAGAAAGAAGAGCAGAAGAGCTATAGATAGTTGTATCTTATTTTGGCTTTTGCATATCCCTAGAAACCCCTATTCTTTTCTTAGTTTTTTTTTAAAGTACATGTTATTAAATCTTTTGGATTAGCTATAGTTGTTTTATTACTTACTTTTATCTGTTAACTTGGGTCTAAAAAATGTCTAATAGAAAGAAGCACTCCAGGAATAGCTGTTGAGAAATGAAGGGTTCAGTTTTGACTCTGATTTGTCACGTGATTTCATGAAACGCTACTATATTTTTGATGTGGAACAGTTGACAGTGTCCCCCTGTCCCCCTACAGAGAACCCACTGCGTGACACCATTCAAGTAACATTCATCTCTTCTACACTCCAGGTCACTTCTGGCGGAACATTCATTGGCATTGGACGGAAAACCCCAGATTGCCAGGGAAACACCAAGTATTTCCGCTGTAAATTCTGCAATTTCACTTATATGGGCAACTCTTCAACTGAACTCGAACAACATTTTCTTCAGACTCACCCGAACAAAATCAAAGCTTCTCTCCCCTCCTCTGACGGTGCGAAACCTTCAGAGAAAAACTCTAGCAAATCCATTCCTGCGCTTCGAGGCAGCGAGCCTGGAGACTTGGGGAAGTGGCAGGATAAGATAACAGTGAAGGCGGGAGATGACACTCCTGTCGGCTACTCAGTGCCCATCAAACCCCTTGATTCCTCGAGACAAAATGGTACAGAGGCCACCAGTTACTATTGGTGTAAATTTTGTAGTTTCAGCTGTGAGTCATCTAGCTCCCTTAAACTGCTAGAGCATTATGGAAAGCAGCATGGATCAGTGCAGTCAGGTGGCCTTAACCCAGAGTTGAATGATAAACTTCCCAGGGGTTCTGTCATTAATCAGAATGATCTAGCCAAAAGTGCAGAAGGAGAGCCAATGACCAAGGCAGAAAAGGGCTCGAGTGGGGCTAAAAAGAAGGACTTCTCCAGCAAGGGAGCAGAGGATAATATGGTAACAAGCTATAATTGTCAGTTCTGCGACTTTAGATATTCTAAAAGCCATGGCCCCGATGTCATTGTAGTGGGGCCGCTTCTCCGTCATTACCAGCAGCTCCACAACATCCATAAGTGTACCATTAAACATTGTCCATTCTGTCCCAGAGGCCTTTGCAGCCCAGAAAAGCACCTTGGAGAAATTACTTATCCGTTTGCTTGTAGAAAAAGTAATTGTTCCCACTGTGCACTCTTGCTATTGCACTTGTCTCCGGGGGCGGCTGGAAGCTCGAGAGTCAAACACCAGTGCCACCAGTGTTCATTCTCTACCCCTGATGTAGATGTGCTCCTCTTTCACTACGAGACTGTGCACGAGTCCCAAGTGTCAGATGTCAAACAAGAAGCAAATCATCTGCAAGGACCGGATGGGCATCCGTCTGTCAAGGAGAGCAAAGAGCACTCGTGTACCAAATGTGATTTTATTACCCAGGTGGAGGAAGAGATTTCCCGACACTACAGGTGAGCGACTTGGTAAAATACCAAGGGAGGACTGGGATTCAGAAGGATGGTACATAACTTGCTGTGATTGAGTTTGATGGGGAGGTGATAGGACATGATAACATAAAAGATGACTCATAGACTTGTAGATCACATGTGTATAGATTGATAACTTCAGATTTTCATTTCCTTCCCATCTGTTCTGCCATGGTAAAAGTCTGGTTACTGATTTAACATGATCTGCTCAGTTTACTTGGTTTAATAGGACACCACTTCAGCGTTTTTATTGGAGTCGTTCCAGATTAAACTATTCCAACAGGGGAATAATCAGCTTGAGGATGGGTTGCTCATTTTTCCCTTAAAGCAAGATTGGGCATTCTTTTTGCTTTGTACAGTTGAACAGCATTTTTGCTTTGCATACCAACAGAAATGGGAAGATGAGCATGTAGTTTTAAGTGTGATTCTCAAAGTACAGTTATACCTCTGAGAAGATAAACTTAAGCTTTTCAAAATAATGTAGCTATCGGCATGTTACATTAGTATTTTACTTCTATGTTGACCTATTCTCATTATAAACCTTAGCCTGCATATTTTTATAGAAGAATTTAGGTTATTTATCCTCATTTCATTTATGTATTCATTTGTGAATTAATTCCAGAAATGTATTGTTAGGCATTGGCTATACCTGAGTTAATAAGGCAGATGTAGACATCCACAATCATGTCCTAATAGAACAAATACTTAGGTAGGGAAGTCAAGACACTCACAGCTCATTATAAAGGTGATGAGTATCATAAAGAGTAGTGAAAAATAAAGTATTATGTTTGAACTAATACACTAACAACATCATTTAATAATGATGGATTAGAAATGTCTCCCCAAGGAAGGAGTATTTAAACTAAGACTTGTTTATAAGTAGGAATTAGTTCAGCAAAACCCTGGAGATACAGGTGTTCAGATATTACTTAGTGCTTATTGGCTGCTTTCTTATTATTATGCCTCTATGCACCCAGGAAAAAGCTTTATTTACTCTTTTTAAGTGTCTTTCCATATGTAGATTCAATATTCTTGTTGGATAAATCGGATTGTTTAAATTTTTACATCCCAAGATTTTTATTAAACAGTCCCTTCCATTTGTTTTAGAAGTGTGTGAATGAAGAGATTTGTGTCCAGCCATAGGGCAGTAATATCAGATGTTAAGTCAAAGGGCATCTTAATGTTCACAGTGCATTGAAATGTTCAGAAAACACTGACTAGAGATTTACACTGTTTAATTTATAAGGTCAGACCTAGGAAAGACAGCAATCAAATATGTGTTCACATTTGTGATGAGTGTTTCTGGCTCTTCTTATGTTAGCTGCATGTTAATTCATTTCTGGACTAGCAGACATAGCTTCTCTCTGAGCCTTACAGAGGTGATGTAAGGGCATTTTTTTGCATGTACATTTATTAAATGACATACAAATTTGATAATCTACCAAATGGGAATGCATGCAACATCCCACCTCCAAATATATATATAAAAAACAGCAGGTGATTTTTTTCTCCAGGAAGCTGAGCCCACTGCTGGATAAATTTTTTGGGAAAAAAGTTTTCCTCTTTATTAGATAAAGAACAGTATTACACCAGCAATATAAGTACGAATAATATTACCTAACAATGTTAAGATTTATTAAATACGCAGTAATGCGTTCCAGAGGAAAGAGACTATTCCTCCCATGCTCCCTGTTGTATCTACCCAATTTAAACCATTGTCAAGATGTCTGATAGAGGCTTTGTGAATGTCTTTATGTAAATTAAATTCTCATGAGCATTTGACATCACAATAGTTATGAATGAGCTGAGAATCTCCAAGGTGAGTTACATTTTAATCTTTGCTTTTGGATCCTTTTGAGGATATAAGTTTCCACACGAAAAAAACAGTTTTCTTTGTTTTTTATTATCAAAGAAAACAAATAGCACCTGGTTCTTAGAGCAGTGAAATGCATTTACCTTTATTTTTAAGTCCTGATGTGTTTTTGCTAATCCAAGAACCATCTCTACTCTGTGAGTTCTTGTACACATGTTTGAAATTGAGAGCTTTATAATTTCAGAAGTAAAATAATAAATCCCTCTAGTAATGTATATCCAGCAAAACCATCTTCCCCGAAGAAAACTAGATATCGTCAGTTAAGTAGGGATCTGGGAAATATCTGGATAAATCTAAACAAACAAGGTCTGCTTCAGCCTAAGGTCAAATTCTAGAGGGTGTATAACCAGAATTAAGATGTTCTTAGGAGAATATTGAACTGTTTAAAGTTAGGGAGTTAGGATATTGTTAGGCATATTTGGAAAAATAGAAAAAAATAAAAATAATAAATACAGGACAGGAAATAAGTATATGAATTCCAAACCACAGAGGTGAACAATGGAGTAGGAAAGTAAAGAACTCTGTTTTGAAATGGGACGAGTATATATATTAGAAAAATTAAATCATTAAAAACTTAAACACAAAATGACAAGAAGTGTAGATTCCAGGAATTTTACAATGTATATTATATGATTAAACTTTTAAAACTGTAGGTTAAAATTTCTACTATAAGGATATTAAAAAGGGAAGTTCAACCCTGTAAAATTTAAAAAATAAATATGTAAAGTATAAGTCTGTTTAGACATAGCCAGGAAAGACTAAAGTAGTATATACTAGCAAATACAAAACTATGAGACATTAAGATAATTATTAATCTTACAAAATTTAGACTTTTAAAAAAAGAATGATCAGACATATTGATGATTTAACTCATTAGATGCATAACGTTTGAATAGGTAGCAAAAACAGTTAATTCAATCTCAGTGGCAAATTTTGAATTTCTTACTGAATGCTAATCAAAAAATCTTGTTCAGTTTAAAAGAATTGACCAACAAATTAATAAACACAATTTCCTAAAAATGTAATAAAAATATAAATTCCTTATTCCACAACTGGAGAAGGCATATTCTTTTGAAGTAGATACAGACTAGTTAAAAAATGGGCATTTTTTTTAAGCCAGAACAGAAATCAGATTTCAGAAAAATAGCATCAAATAGAATACATCTTTTGACCCATTGCTTATTAATCTAGGCTTCATAATAAATAATTACAGATTAAGTTATATAAGACATACCCTATCTAAAAATGAGATAACCTAATTATTGCCAGTAAACACAGACTTTAAGACATAAAGCATTGTAGATTTATGGAGTCAGTGTATATAATTTCCAAAGCTCAGTTTGGCAATTCTGTCAATATCAGTTGCTTGTATCCTTTATGTAATTTCACTCCTCAGAAGAAAACCTGCATATGTGCATAGGAAAGTATGAAAATTGAATAAATGTAATTATTGAAACAGAAAAGTACCAAAACAACCATCAATCACAAAGTGGAGCCAACTCCCCCTTCTATCTATTCATGAGAAATTACACTTTGTATAACGTTCATAGAGTAGAATATTATGAATAATTAGCTTGAATAAATGTCAATTAACTACAACATGGATGAATCCTTTAAACTTAATTCTGCCTGAATAAAAATTATGAAGACTGTTCACAGATGGTTAGCATTTTATATAGTTTTTAAAACTGGAAAACAAAACTATGTTTTGTTAAAGTTGTATGTAGTTATCCATGGCATGTGCATGTATTCATAAATATTCATGTATCTATATTTACCTCTACCATAAATATTATTTGTTTTACTTATCTGATTACTTTTGAGTCAAGGACCATGAAGTTTTTTTGCTCCCTAGACTGGCCTTAACCCTTGATCCTTCTGTGCTCAGACTCCCAAGTATCTAGAATTACACGGCTGAGTCACTAGCATCTGACTTTATTCTCTATTTCTTTAGATGTGTTTGTATGTATGTAAGTATATATGTAGCTAATCATTGTTTATGATTTTATAATTATAGGGTAGTTTTCAACTTGTGAATCTGGATAAATGTGTATGTGCACATGTTTTTGTTTCAGTAACATTAAATTATATGTTTTCAAAATTAAAAAATATTCACTAATTTTCACTACATATAACTAATCAAGTTATGAATAAGTGCTTAGTATTTCTTACTATTAGAGAACTTCCTAAACTCATTAATTTACTTATTATCGACCTAGCTATTTTTTTTTCTTGTGAGTCAGAATGTGGAAAAACAGACATGGTTTGAGTGGTATGTAAATAACTCACCTGTCTAGTTTAAGATTTTTTTTTAATTGTGAAAATACCATACAGAGGGGTTACAAGAACATGAACAAGGTAATGAGTACATTTCTTATCAAGCATTGTTGCCTCCTCCTTAGTTTCCCCTTCCCATCCCTTCCAATGTCTGCCCCGCCCCTCCACTCCCAGGCCAAAGGTGTAAAGTTCTTGTACATCTCATTTTTGCAATGGGTCCACCTGTATCCCTATTTAAACAATTGTTTTTTTCCCTTTCCCTCCACAGATTATATCAGCATCAAATACAGTGAAAACAGGGGTTATACTATGGGAGAGGGACATACAAAGCAATAAAGAAATCATCTTATAAATATGTTAGAAACAATCACAAGAAAGACAAAACATTTAAGTCCTTATCTTGGGGTTCATTTTGCCTAACATCAACTTATCTGACTGTTTCTCAGACATATACTAGTATTGCAAATAAGAGAAACCATGGGACCTATGTTTCTTTGGGCCTGGCTTACTTCACTTAATATAATTTTTTTCCAGGTCTTTCCATTTCCTAACAAATGGGGCAATATCATTCTTTCTGATGGAGGCATAGAATTCCTTTGTGTATATATACCACATTTTCTTGATCCATTCATCTACTGAGGGGCTTCTGGGTTGGTTCCATATCTTTGCTATGGTAAATAATGCTGCAATAAACATAGTTGTGCTGGTAGCTTTAGTATGGTCTTGTTTGTGATCATTCGGGTAAATGCCCAAAAGTGGGATTGTTGGGTCATAGGGGAGCTCTATGTGAAGTCTTTTGAGGAACCTCCATACTACTTTCCAAAGTGGTTGAACA